TCCTCCAAAAATTGCAATTCCGCACTTTTTGAGTCACGATGGGTCGACAAAGGCAAAAAATATAAAACTTAAATTTCAACAATTACAATACTTCGATTAGGAAGCAAAAATAATTAGAGATTTAATTGAATTTTCAAAGACTCGCCCTTTCCCGTGAGAACTTCCCCACATGCTGATACAATTCCAACAGCTTCAATGCCGTCTACCTCAAACAAAGCCAATAACATTATTTGTGGAATCGACCAGGACATTTACATTGGCTATCGACAATTTGTATCCATTTTCATCACCCCTATCTCTCCATCAGCCCCTACCCCAATTTAAACTGCTGGCATTTTCCTCCAGAGCGGTATAAATCATTGTGCCCAGTTGATGCTTATCTAAACTACGTTCGACACACTCCCGCATCGATCCTCTCTGTCCATTTGGTTTTGCTAAACGCAGAGAAGAATTTATTTGCAGTCGGTTCGCCTCGTGTCAGCATTTACACGCAGAAACCATGAGGAAATTAATCATATTCCTCTGTATATCTGCGCACGCCGGGCATTCCTGCTGTCAGTTAATCAGACCCAACGTGATTTACGAGAATGTCATCAAGGGGGTGCATGATTACTATAACAATACGTGTATCATTCTGCTTCATGCTACGAGAAATCCCATCGAGTCCCAAGGTTCGACATTCTGATGAAAAAGCTTTACGGGAAAAACTAGCGTTTCACCTAAAAATTCTCTTCCATTTCCGTTATTCCAATGTTATATCTCAACCTATAACGATTTGTATCTGGAATCAATTTAATTGGAAATTTCATAGAAAAAGGACAATAGATCTTGATTATTCATTGAAATTAATTTAACAAAAACTCAATGGAATCTTATAATCATATAATTTCAAGAGAATCTTCAAATGAAGCGCTAGGTATTCACCCTCAGTATTTATTTAACGTGCAATTATTTAAGTAATAGTTTAAAATGCTGGAGCATGTAGAGGTGATTGTTTATTCTTTATTTCGATGGATTTTGTGTTCGGTAGGAATAGAAGAGAGTGAGAATCTTCAGAGACTCCAGGCATATCTCAGCAAAGCGTACATCCGCACAGCAGTAATGCAAATATCAACTTTCATAGAACGAGTAAGAAATCCATTTACTATTTTCCTTATCCACGGTATTGGTAGCGTGCATTAAATCGTCAATATGTCTTCCAAGGTTGGTGGCAGCTACTACCATATTAAACGGCCGCTGTTTGTCCTGTTGAACGATGATGACGACGTGAGGGAACAATTTGCCTTTGTAAATACAACTTTTATAATAATAATAGAAATTGGAATCTGATTTGAATGATCAGATTGGAATCTGAAAAGAACATATATAATGAGGTTCAATCCATATATTCTTGTAATGTAAACGAATTTTATGTGAAAATCATATATATACTGGGCCGATTCCATATAAATAAGGAGAATATTGTTTATGATTTGAGTTGATATGGTCATTGTTGCTAATGAATTTGAAATATGCTTCCGAATGGTTATGCATTTTATATTCATATCAAAAACTTCATATTAAAAATTCCAAAAGTAAAATAGATGACTAGATTAAGAGCAAACGGATTGTGTGTTATTTTTCTTCCGGGAAAATATTTCAACCCCCAATTTTCGGATTCCAAGAGAAAATACATTTTTTATTTAGTCGAATTCTATTTTATTTAGAATATTCAAATGAATATGATTGGAGATATTTTGTTAAATTTGGGAATTAATTGAGCCAACCATGGCCCAACATTGATCCAGCATTAAGCCGACATTAATACCGCGAATTTTTTGAAAAGGAATAACAATCGGCTTCAGTTTGGAACTTAATCAAGATAACACTCAACCAAATTTATTAATCTGTTATTTGAATCAAATTAAGGATTTTTTTTTTGAGTAATCATCGAAAAACTTTTTGGTCACATATACGCAGGAAATTATATACGAGAAAATTAGTCCCAATCCCAAAATTGATTATCCAAACATGAAAAATTGCACACGCAAAATCCAATGATTACAATTTTTCTGATCAGAAACAAAAATATATCATTTTTAAAATCTATATTTTTCGGTCTGGTTTTTAATCATCCCAGTATAGTCTGATTTAGGATCTTGAAGATGCATAGTGATTTCTGGTTTCCAATGCAATTTGATCAAACAACCGTCAATTTTACACAGATCTGCCTCATGGATGATAATAAAACTGTCAACGACAGGGAAAATATACCGAATTTACTTGCAGCAAATTGCCCCTTGGATCGACATGTCCTATCCAACCTGGCTGATCTTCCTGAGGCCTGAGACTTCGATCGAGGCCTTCTTCGACAAGATTTACGTTCAATTCGACTGCACAATAATGGCATCCAAGCCCGACGCGGATTCCGAGAACCCAGGGGAAATTATTACTGAAGTTTATCAGATCGATAGAGGAGAGAGACTTAGGACTGGGTTATTCGCCACCTGGAAAATAGATACGGGAATTAAATTACCACGATGGAGTCTTTACCAGCGTAGAAGTGATCTCCAGGGACACTTATTTCGTGTCATGTCCATACAGGTGATTTTTTGCATTTTTAATGAATCTCCAATTGATTCGCGAATAATGAAGAGTGACACGTGGGTTTGTTTAGTAATCGAGTTTTCCAAGGAATATCTCCGAATCTAAGAGAGATGGCGAAATCTTGTAGGAACCTTATTTATAGGCAGGGGTAGGAGCTATAGAAAAGGTATTCATAAAAATTTCTGTATCTCGTTCAGATCCGGAGATATTCCTCAAAAAATGACTTACTAAATTCGCTATTTACTATTTTGAGAACTTTTCGCTATTTATGATTTTGAATTGATTCTGAATTGATTGCCATTTTTATCGATTTTTGTGAATAGGATCCACCTCAATCTATGATAATTCATGACGACAGTGGACGTGTAACTGGACTTGGTGGATTTTTCGGGGGATTGATGGATTTGCTCCAGGAGAGTATGAACTGCACGT